CGAAGACAAACAAATAAGAGCACGGAACGTCAAAATATTACAAAAAAAGAACACATGCTAATGATAAAAATGGGAAAAGAGAAGAAAAAAAACAAACAAACATTTTCAGATCTAAAAAATATGAGAAAATTGCACAAATAAGAGAACATAAAAGATCGCACCATAGACACAAGACAATACAAATGTATATCTGAACATAAATAGAATTTAAATAACAGTCGATGGAAGTTTATCATAGGGTGGTGCAGGAGATGATGCTGGTGGTCGTTGTTGACGAGATAGCGTACTTTGTTGCGGAGAAATTATTGTTTGTTTTAATTGTTGTTGTTGAAAATCAGTTTGATTATTAGTCAATGTTTGAAGTATTCGAATACAATCACCATTTGCACATTGAAGTGGTGTACGACCATTCGTATCTGTTATAAATGGATCAGCACCAAACTAAAACAAGAATTAGTTTTATCAATAGACAAAAGAAGATCTGATCATTTTTATGCTTTTCAAGAAAACAGAGAACAAATTCATTCAGAAAATTTTAGAATTTTTAATTTACCCAAAGTAGAAGTTGTAGAATGGTAACATTTCCTTGCATAGCAGCTAGATGTAATAATGAAGAATTAATCTCTTCTATTGATACTTTTCTATGTGCTAATAGAAGTATAATAGTATACAAATCTTCTTTAGTTATAGATTCAATAAGTGTTTGTCGTGCTTGATTAGGTAAAATATGTAATGGTGCAACAAATAATTTTTGCTCATATTTATCTCTTATCCATCGTTCACGTTCAGATCTTAAATAACAAAATTTAAGTAAATAAAATAAAAAATTAATAATTAAAACATACGATGAAGCATTTGGTTGAGGTTTAACACGATTTTTTATATTTACTTCCCATATTGTGTTTGCTAATTTATTTCCAATTGAACGCATTACTTGTACAAGTTCCGGTCTATTACAAAATCAAAAGTATACTTTATATGAATATAATTAAAAAAATATTCCTACGGCCATTCATCTAATTCAAGTGATCGAACACGTGATAAATGTGTTCCAAGATTTCGATGTAAAGATGCACAATCCATACAAATTAAAGCACCAAGATTTAATGAAGCCCATGTTGGATCTAGAAAAAGAATATATATATTCATAGGATTCAACTATCTTAAATATAAATTGAAGTGAATATTTTTCTTACTTAGTTGATCACAATCTGCACAAAAACCATTTCCAGGTATATGTTTAATAGCTTGTACTGATGCTGAATCAGCAATAGTTGCTCCACCAGTTTTACCGGCTCGTGCTGCTTTTGATGATTCAATATTTTGTAAACTAAATAAAATTTGTTGTTCAATAGCTTGTACCCATTCATCACGTTCTTCATTTGATTGTGCTTCAAAAAACCATTGTTTATCCAATGATACAATAATAAAAACATTTTCATCGCCATCATCATCACCACCATTTGTGTTTGATGTTGATTTTGATGTTGTTGAATTATTTGTTGAATTAGGTGTATTAGATTGTTGTAGACGACGATGACGTTTTTTTGCATTTGGTGTTTCAATTTTACCTGCTGTAGTAGATATTGAATCTGTTGATGTAACATCATTTAATTTATTATCATTGCTTGAACTACGTAAAGCAACACGAGGTTTATTCGAACCAGGAATTTTAATTGTTGTACGTTGAAGAATTATTTCTTTACCATGAGAATCATTTTCATAATCCTAAAAAAAAGAAAATTTGATTTTTTTCTGTCTCGATAGATAAAAATGAATTTTACATGGAATGATGGATGATAAATAATTCGACCGTCATCTAATAAAACAGCATATTTCTTTTTCCAATCTCGATTAATACTGTTCGTGCCTTTTTTATATAGGAAACCCTAAAAAAACAATTTAATGGAATATAATAGATATTTAAGACGAATATTTTAGATACAAACCTGTTTAATTGGTATTGCTCGACCGTGGCCAAGTCGATCTGATTTATTTTTATCTTCGTCTTTTTTTCCAGGCTAAAATAAAAAGAATACGTAAAATGTCTTATAATACAAACAGGTAACTATGGTTACTCGTTTGAGTAACTAATCCAATAATTATGTTATTTCAAGAAATATAATGCAACAAGACTTTTGAATCCACCACTACAAAATAGGATACACCCATTGACAACGCCTCATTACTGTCTTTTTAACTAGAAATAACCAAGCTGAAGTTTGTTCTCACGACATGCGTACTATACTCTTGACGAAATTTTCATATCAATACTGATAATTATTCTAAACATTTTTTTTTATCGATGTTTATTATCGACAACCAGCACACCCTGCATATTTCTCAAAATAAATTTGACAATACGATTATATAATAATTAAATTATAAGTTATATTCTTATCTAAAAGCTTTTGAATTAATAAATTATTCAAAAGAAAAAATATATATATATATAGAGTCTATCGAGACGAGAAGAAACTATAGATAAAGTATAATTGAACATAATAGACAAAAGAGTATATATATATATGTATGCATTGATGCATGACAATAGGACAAAATTTCTTACTGTGAATAAATTTGATTTTCTTTTTGTTTCTTTTCTTTTTTGTGTAGGTGTTGATGTTGGTGTTATTTGTTCATT